ATGTTGCTCTTACTACTAATGTGAGGTTGTCTACTGCTGCTGCCGTTGTTACTACACTACTACGATGAACTGCGCTTGTTTCTGCTTCTGCTACTGCTGTTGCTGCTGCTCCTGCAACGGCGGCTGCTACTACTGCTAGTGCCGAGGCTACTGCTGCTGCTACTGCTACGTCAACGACGACTACCATTACATCCTACTAGATTAAGGCTCAAAGGGTCTGTCAGCACAGGCCATGAGAGAGTGGATCAACGAGCCGCTAACATCGTTCTCTAAACCAGAAACCGACTTTTCAGGCTTCAGTCTGCAGCTCTAGCTTTGAAAGGTCACACCTGCCAAGCTGGAGGTACGCACCCTTAAGTCCTGGTCAGAGGTGTCCCTCTTATAGGCTCCATCTCGCCTGCCTCCAGCACTCGGAGCGCCTTAGGCATGCGACCTCTTCTTCGTCCTCGCCCCCGAACTGAGGCATAAAGACACAGGCCTGGATCAGACGGTGCCGAAACCCTGAAGTCGCAGGCAGTTTCGTCTTGCCAGGGTTTCGGGGTCATGTTTGAAGGCGAGCTCCCTCAACTGCAAGCCCAAACTGGTCCCGGAGCCCCAAGGCAATCCCAACAGCTCTACAGTACTCCGATGCCGTGAAGCTTCCTCTGCTCAAAAAAAAGTCGCCCGCCCTCTCAAATCTTCTCAACAAAAAAATAATGTGTATAGGTTTAGGGATTTTGCCAGGTCGGGCCACGTCATCATGGGGGGAAGTTTGAGCTTCCTGTTCTGGCTCGTGCTTGCTCGGATGATGCTGCAAGGTCAGTTTTGCGGACCCGTCAATGTTCCGAGTTTAGAGTTGTCCCCGCAGTCCGTAGTTAAGCATGGTCTCTGTCAGGATTCATTGCAACTGCATGTAGCTTAAGGAGTCGCAGCCAATGCAAGCTAGATGAGCAACAAGCTAACCCCAAACCCCAAACCCCAATCCCCGCAACCCTAAACCCTAGCTTTTCCAGGTAGACTGTGTAACTACGCATCCTGGCTCTCGAGGTGCGAGGGTGCTTCATGGATCGAGGGATAGCCTTGGGATTTAGGGTTTAGGGTTTAGGGGCTCAAAGGTGTGAGAATACGAGGTTTCAGACGGGCTTCTTCATGTTTACGGCTTGCAGAATTCTGGCCGTGGATCCTCAGGAGAAGAGGAGCAGCAGCAGCCACGGCAGCAGCGGTAGTAGCAGCAATACGTTCTAGCGTTGGCGCAGTGAAAGCAATGATGGTAGTGGTAGTAGCGGTAGGGTAGTAGTAGTAGTTGTAGTGGTAGAACGGGTAGTAGTGGTAGTGCTTTAGAAGCACTGACGATCGCAACAAAGAGGTAAGACTTGCACGAGTCAAAACTAGGAATATTGTTGGTAGCAGTGGAACGAGCAGAAGTATGGGTTAAAACACCAGTGCCAGTAGTACTTACGGTAACAGGGGGCAACAGCCTGCGAGCGTGTGGAAAAAAGAGAGAGAGAGAGAGAGACAGAGCAGACGGCTTTCGAGTGGGTTGTATGTGCTGCGGCAGCCTGCTTGACGTTGGTGCCCACAGAGGCTGCGGCGGAAGTAAGGCGAGGCGGGCCATCCATGCGGTTCGCACTCCTGTTTTTATCGGGGACTTGGTAGAAGTGCAGTTTCTGAGGGATCTGCCGTTGGGAAGCTCCCCATTGACGATGTGGGCCTAGTGGGCGAAGGGGCGGGAGGGGTGGAAGGGAGAGAGAGGGAGAGAGAGCAGTAGAGATGCAGGGGGAGGGAGAAAGGGTAGTTATAAGTGGGGTAAAAAGTAGGGTTATGGGGTTCCTTTAAGGGTTCCTCTAAGGGTTCCATAGGGTTTAGAATTTAGAGTTTAGGGGTAGTTATAAGTGGGGTTATAAGTAGGGTAAGTGTAATTATTAGGGGACTTATAACTCCACTAATTACTACCCATGAACCTCCAAGTAGACTCTAAACCCTAAACCCTAAACCCAATATACCTTAAATCATAATATTAAGGCCCCTATCCAGACAGCCTTGAGCGCCGCTCTGCTTTCGAACCTTTCTCAAAGCCGCCAAAAAATACTCTCTAAGCTTGTGGAAACAGGAAAGCTGCTCTCAAAGCTTCTAAACCCTAAACCCTAAACCCTAAACCCTAAACCCTAAACCCTAAACCCTAAACCCTTCGAGGGGTTGGTGTCGGGCCGAGCTCTGGTGCCGCCTCCTCTCGGCGAAAACCGACACCAGCGGCCCGGCTTCGTGAGGTTTCACCCGGAAGCCGAAGCTTCCACGCATTGCGTAACGAGCATATGTAAAGCATAGGTGTATCTATTATATATGTATATACAATTGTATACACATAGGCAAATAAAGTGATAATATATGTATATTTCAGAATGTATGTATGTATGTATGTATGCATGTATGTATGTATGTATTTATGTATAAACCTACATAATCAAAATATATTCTATGCCCCCGTATGGCAGCTGGACGCCGTGTGATTGTCTGGGTCTGCTTACGAGGGGATGGAGTCGGAATGCTTGTGCAGCGATCGCAGCCGAGGCGTCGTGGTCGTATATTCTGCAGAGGCAGATGGGGAAGGGATGCTTCCGCAAGTGTGTCTCTGCACTGCGCGATTCTGTGCGACGCTTTGCTTGCCCCTTCGTTTGCAGTTCCCCGAGGAGCTGGAGTTCATGTTCCAGCTGGACTGGCAGCACAACACCATCGCCGACGGGGTCTTCACCGTGGAGGCGGACCGTGCCCGAGTGGTGAGTCTCGGCGAGGCGGCGGCGGAGGGGAAGCTGCGGTGCTTTGGAAGCAGTCGGAAAACCGTCCTGTCTTGTGAGCGCATCCCCCAAGTGCCTCAGCTGTGCCCTCTCTGCTCCTCCCCGCATTCCAGGCAGCTCCGGCAGTCCGGGCACAAGGACGTCTACCGTTTCTTCTTGGCTCATCGTCACTGGCTCCTCGGGAGGGCGCGGCATCGCTGGCAGATCCAGGAGTCGAAAGTCGGGGAAGTTTTAAGGGTTTAGGGTTTAGGGTTTAGGGTTTAGGGAAGGACAGGGCTTTTTTCATGTGCTCGCAAGTACTGTAGCTCTGACTGGCTCAGGACTTCCTCAGTCAGTTCCATTTCGATGACCTGGAGGCAGCAGCCGCTGAAGGTGTTATGTCGGGCGTGCTTTGTGCCATCTTCGCAGGGGATTCTGAAGTTTTAACAGCGCTGGTGGAAGCCCGAGCACATGTGAACAGCAGCATCCGCGGGCTCTCTGACCTGGGCTACTTTGACGGCATGTCCCCTCTCACCGTTGCAACGAGATCGAATCAAGATCCTGAGATGCTCTCCACTCTTCTGAAGCTCCGGGCTGATGTGAATTATCGGGTGCCGATGTCCGGGGCCTGTGCTGCCCATGTTGTCCGAAGCTCCGAACAGTTCCGAATTCTCAAGGATGCTGGCGTTGACTTCCATTCAGTCGCTATGCCCATTGGCATGACCCCGCTGACGTCGGCGGCGGGGTTCGCATCTGCTGAGGTAGTTTCAGCTCTCTTGGAGGCAAGAAGTGATCCGAATCCTCCACTGCAGGGTGTTGGCTGGAGCCCCTTGCATGCGGTTGCCCTCTTCTCGAGGGGTCGCGCGGATGGCGCGGAGATCGTCCATCTGCTGGTGAAAGCGCAGGGGGACCTGAATGCGAAGGCCCGCATGTCGGGGCCTGTGTCCTGGATTGCTGGGGCCATGAAGGCCCAAACCGCCATTTGGGGCCTGTCGGCCTGTGGATCGAAAGCTCGCTGTTTGGCCAGCTTGCCTGGCATCACGCCCTTGGGCGCTGCTGCCTTGGCCGGTGATGAGACGCTCACCGGCTTATTTTTAGATTTGGGTGCACCGATTGCCCCAAATGACATGGGCAGCCTTCCGGAGGAACTGGCCCAAGCCAATCGCCACGCAAACGTAACGTCTCTGCTCGACTTCCTGTCGATCTGATGCCAGTGCCGAGCATAGTAGCCTCGGGTGCTTGGACCGCAGGAAAAGCAACAACATGTCGCAAAAAGGCGGCTGTTTAAGTTCAGCATCAGTAGTCTAAGGACTGTTGCTTCGTCTGCCACAGCAAAGATCGCACTTGAGCAGTCCTGCGCAGGCAAAAAGGCTATTCCGGCACTATGCCTTCATGTCACCTTGCAAGTACAGATAGCTGGATACCTTCTAATGCCCGACGTTTGAAGAGAGGGTACCCTACAATGGTTTTTGTCTTTTCCCAATCGAAAAACGCCGTCGCGTGCGTTGAAAGGGCTTGAGGGGTGCCGTGACGGGCGGCTCAAGCGAGGGCTGGGCCTCGGCCGACGCCGTGGCTGTCACTTTCGTGCAGCAATGGCGACGGATTTGGCGTTCGCTGCTTCGCTCCGTGCAAACCCGAGCAAGAGATCGTTTTTGGACCACGCCTTTCCGATGTACACCGTGCCAGCGGAATTTCTGCTGCAGATGACGAAGCAGAAGACTCACGAAGAGATGCTTCAGGCTGGTGCCCTTGTGGTGGCCGAGCCATGTTCGTGTCCTATGAGTGGCTTAGCAATCTGCATCCCGATCCAAATGCGGAGCAGCTTCAGATATTACAGCAGGCCTTGAGGAACATCGCATCGGACAGCAGCAAGATTTGCGTGCCAGTTGTAACAGAAATCCTCTTCGGTCGACTGCAGCTTCCGAGTGCTGACAGTGTGGGTGTCGGACCCTCTACATCTGGTACGACTACTTCTGCTGCCCGCAGGATAGCTCGAATGCAGCATCTCTTCAGCGCCAGGCGGCCATTGACAGCATCCCCACGTATGTGTCACAGTGCTACTTCTTCGTGATCTTGTGTCCTGCCCTCAAGCACATCGACCAAAGCCGTACCCTTAGTCAGTCAAGCTGGGCTTTGCGGGGGTGGTGTCGCTGTGAGCGGGTCGCACGCGAACTTGCCGCGCGAGAAGATGGTTACATCATCGTCATTGAAAGTGCCGTGCACCAAACGCTGGTGTGGCTTGGAAACAGGATGTTAGAAGCGCCTGGCGAAGGAGACTTCACTGTGGAGCAGGACAAGATGAGGGTTGGCCGTATGATGACTCGCATGATTTGGGACAAGCTGCTATACTATCTCGAGAAAGGTGACTTGCACAACTATCGGTTCCTGTCTAACTCTCAGAGAGCTCGATTTTTTCGAGGTCTTGATCTCGCGCCTATTGATAGCTTGATTCCACCCAGTGGAGTCCAAGCCGATGCGTTCCGGGAGCCCGACAAATTTTTGCTGGAGTGGTTCCTGCATCAGAACGGCTTTCGGGGAGTGTTGGAGCGCGATGAGAAGGGATGGTCTCCGCTGTGCTTCGCAGCCTTAAATGGTGATCCTCTGACGGTGAAGTCTCTCTTGCGCTACCGGGCCGATCCTAACGACATGACGGCAAAGGCTAGGATCAAGGCGGGCGGGGTTCCGGTTTCGGGGTCTTGGGGATTAGCACCGGCGGGTGAGGATTTATCCCACGTCAGGAACAGCTGCCTAGGAAGAGCAGCGTTTTGGCCATCGCGGCCTTTTTTCGCAACAACGAGGCCGTGGAGGTGTTGCTGTCTGCAAGAGCTTCTCCAAATGCACTCGACGAAAACTTCGGCAATTCTCTGCACTTTGCAGCTCGGAGTGTTTGCCAGACTGTTTGACTTCCCCGATGAACAGCATTACAATACATCGGCAGAACATGATTTTAGCAGTTGTGGCGGTCTGAACCAGCGCAGTGGTCGGCGGCATGGTCAATGAGAGCATGGGTTTTCCGTACAAGCGAGGCAGTCATGTGTACAACTCATAATCTGCACACATTCGCACCCACCTTCCTGGCAGACAGGCACCACATTCGGAATATTCGTGTTGCAGTGTCCAATATGACGCCACAGTAGCAAAATCACACTGATGTAGAGCCCCATCTAACAATAACGGATAGTGATGGCAGGAGAAAGGGCAGGACATGCAGAGGCAATGCTGATGATCAAAACATGCACAAGAACAACGGTAAACCGACAACTGGTATCAACTGGTCATGCGAGCCACCGTCGTGTAACAGTGTTAATGCAGACAGGGAGAGTTTGATGAACATATTCACAACAGTAATGAAGTGTGAGAACATTATTCTTGTTCGTATTAGTATCACTCTTCTTCTCATTATTGGTACAGTAAGGCGGCTTCAGCAGAGCAGTAGCAGTCGTGCCAACATTGGTGGCGGTAGTGGTAGCAGTTGCAAGAGTAGCAGCAGGCGGAGCGGTAGCAGCAGTCGTACTCGCAGTAGCAATACTAGCCGTAGTGACAAAGCTGTGCACATCACAAGCATAGTCATGTGCCAAATACATTGTCGATGACACAATCGTAATCAGGCTTCAACGAGAAGTCATAATCGATGGCGCATCGCTTCAAAAGAGTATTTCAAAAGCCCACGACCGACTTAGGCTTGCGCTGCTGACAATGCTGTGGCTGTGCAACTGCTGATCTCGGCTCGCGCCAATCCGCACCAGAAATGCGTTCCGGGCCTGAACCCTTTCCAGGCCATCTGCGAAGCTAAACCCTAAACCCTAAACCGTGGGAGAAGGACTGACATTGGAAATATAGGGTTGAGTCTGTCAGCGGCTCTGTCCTTGTAGCTAGGCACCAGGCAGGCCATGTTGAGCGGGGTTCTTGACATGAAACCTAAACCCAAAAACCCCTAAAGCCCTAAAGCCCTAAACCCTAAACCCTAAACCCTAAACCGCTCAGATCAGCTGCGCCTGTGGCAGCCTGCAGTCCATGAAGGAGATCCTGGCGCAAGTGCCGGAGTTGAGCTTGCGGCACAGCCTCCATTTCGCCCTGATGTTCCTTGGTGTTGGTCTAGGGCTTAGGGTTTAGGGTTTAGGGCTTAGGGCTTAGGGTTTAGGGTTTAGGGTTTAGGGTTTAGGGTTCTTCTTGTTGGCTCTTAGGACTTCAACTTTTTTGGGTTTCTATATGAACTACAATAAGGACACTAAAAGTTTAACTTTTTGGGTTTCTATATGAATCACAACAAGGACACAAAAAGTTGAACTTTTTGGGAGGGGTTCAGAAGTCTGCCAAGGTTCAGTGGAGGGGGATCTCCCGAGACCATCTCCGAGTTGATCCGAGCCCGGGCAGACGTGAACGAGCCGTTCCGGATTCGCCTCAAGGAGACGGGAAACCCTAAACCCTATACCCTAAACCCTAAACCCTGAACCCTATACCCTAAACCCGATACCCTAAACCCTAAACCCTAAACCCTAAACCCTCAAGGAGCCGGGCTGGTGGCTACTTTTAAACCTCACCAGCATCCGACACCGGGTGAGCCCCTCAAGGCTGACCTGCCTGGCCTATCATCATTACGGCGCCACGCCGCTCATGTTTAGCATCCTCAGCGGATACCTGCAGGCTGCAGCGGCCTTGCTGACTGCAGGGGCGCAGGTGGACATTATGAACTTTCGGAGGAAGACCGCCTTGGCTCTGGCTTCCCAGATGCTGGTTCCCATGTGGTTGATGCGATCCTTAGATGGCAGAGACCGGGGTCCACGAGTGCTGGAAGATGAAGAGCTTACCGAGGAGGACGTCTTCTTCATTTGAGAATCATTCTCGCTTTAGCTTGAGACCTCATGGCCAAAAATCGTGTGCCAATGCGAAGTATGCACGCGAACCTGTTAGGCTACTGAGATCCCAAAACTGCTTCTCAGGCCGCTTCCAAGATGCACCGCCTGTTGCGACCATCTGGCCGGATCTGGTCGATGAAATGTTCTTTTTGACTCGCTCCTTTTTCCATCTGTCCACAGCATGAGAATGTGATCAGGCATCGTGGGTTGCCGCTGTGATGATCAGAGTATGCAGACACCAAACTGAGAGCGAACGAAAGACCACCTGGGTTGGGGATGGGAAGGAATTGAGCGATTAGGTAATTAGTCACTCCATGCGCACCAGGACTCAGAAGGATAAGACAGACAGCCAGTGCCATCTGCATTGTTACCACCATTTACCAGCATCGCCAGTCTCATCCCCATCTACGTCGCCATCAGCATTGTCATCGTCATGGTTGCCGCCAGTGCTCATCTCCTCTTCAGCGTCGTCGAGAACATCATCACCGTGATGAGGTTGGCATCGTTATTGGAATCATCAAGATTATCCTGTCAATCTTCATTCTCACCACCTTCACAGTGTTGATCGTATTTCGGGGGCATGTTGTTCATTCTGTGCATTATCATCATAAGAATTATCATCATCATCATCATCATCATCATCATCATCATCGCCATGCACATCATCACGATTGTCATCATGACCATTGTGCTCACTATCATCATCATTATCATCATCATCGTCCTCATCATCGCTGCCATCATTGAGCCTACTTTCATCTTCACCACCACCATTGTTGATATCGTCGTCGTCCCCCTCCTCCTCC